GGTCATAGCTCACAACATCATTGCGCCGATCTTTCTGGCTGGCGCCGCCGATAGTACGCCCGTTCGTTGCGCTCATCTCCTCAAAGCCGTATGTCATCATGGTATCTTCATCCACACCGGGTTCTGGCCATGCCTGAGTCAACGAGCGTGTAGCATTGGACTGAGGTCGTGTATGTAACGGCACAAGAGGAGGGAGAGCAATTGCTGCCATTGAGCGCTCAGTGGCGTCGATGGATGATAACTGACATGCGTGAGCAACGCAACTAGTTAGATATTGATAGTCATAGCTCACAACATCATCGCGCCGATCTCCCTTGCTGGCTTCGCCGATAGTACGCCCGTTCATTGCGCTCATCTCCTCAAAGCCGTATGTCATCATGTTATCTTCACCTACATTGGGTCTCGGCCACATGTGAGAGGCAAAGCGTGTACCGTCGACTTGGAGCTGTGTATGCGTCGGTACAAGAGGGGGGGCAACAGCCGCAGCCATCGAGGGCTCAGCAGGGTCGATGGACGATACCTGACATGCGTGAACGACGCAACTAGTTGGATATTGATGGTCATAGCTCACAACATTATTGCGCCGATCTTTCTGGCTGGCTCCGCCGATAGTACGCCCGTTCGTTGCGCTCATCTCCTCAAAGCCGTATGTCATCATGGTATCTTCATCCACACCGGGTTCTGGCCATGCCTGAGTCAACGAGCTTGTAGCATCGGACTGAGGTCGTGTATGCAATGGTATAAGAGGAGGGGTAGTGGTCGCAGCCATCAAAATCTCGGGTGCATCGATCGAGGAAGATTGGTGATCATGCTGGGGTCTTGGCAGCGAATTCCACTTGTTATCTGAGATGGAGAATGAGAGCTGTACGTAGATGAAAATGATAGCGTACCATTTTGTATGCGCGCCTGTATCGCAATCTCCCGCCGGAAGAGCTCGCATCCGCTGGGATTCGCCATAGAGTATAGCAACTCAGGCTGACCTGGTATCTTACATACAGCTTCTGTACTGCGCGCAGATTAGCCGGTGGCCTTAGGCGTATAACAAACAATTCTGCTTACAGTAGGGTTGCGTCTTGCGGCCCCGCCACAAACGTCACAGCAATTCCTGAAGTTGCTTCTGCTACGAGTCGTGCAATCTCTTCCAATAGAGGAGTGAGCTTTGACATATTCCTACCACAATTTTGAGTGCCAGCGGAAAGCAGAAATGTCAGTTACGCACTCGATAGCTTCTGCAGGGGTTCTGGGAGCCGTTGTAATCTGAGCCTCCCATTCCGCCACTTCCTGCTCGTACATGAGCTGTACCTGCTTCCGTGTCCTCTCCTTCTCGTCTTCGCTGCATATCCGATACCATTCAGCTGCCACTATATTCCACGATGCGCCACGAGGTGGCTGCTGAAGTCCAGACTGGACTGCCATCTGTGTGGCGGATAGGTGACGCTGATCGACAGCGGTTTCGAGCTCATGGCGAGACTGTAGCTGGGTAGCCCAGACAATGTAAGCCTGTCGCTGCTTCGGCTTCGGAGACAGATGCTTCATGATGGAAGCGAGGTCGACATTTGACTTCGAACTCTTGCTGACTTTACCAGACCCGTGTACATTGTCGTAGTTTGTGCGCCAAACCTTCAGGATTTCCTAGAGGGTTTTCAGACTTCGAATGATTCGGAAAGAAGATTACACCGACAGCGCGAACTTTCTTAACAGTGTCATCTCGAGAGACCTTTCTCCTTCCTTCTTGACCCACACCTTGGGAGCCCGTTGACTCCGTGCCGAGTACTTCAGAGGCGACCGCATTGACTTCTTCGTCCGTAGGCTGTGAGCTCAACGGGTGCAAGGCGCGAAGCGGGTGTTCCCATCCCCAGTGGGCAATGAAGCGAACGGAGTATCTCTGTACAATTGCCGTGATAGCGCTTTGGGAGGCATTCGACTTTCTCGCAGAGTTATACTCTGAGCTATTCTGGATCATCCAGGCCTCCGTATTGGTAGTGGTGTTCTTAGGCCGACCAGGTCCTCGCTTTGTCGTCTCAGAGTCCATGGCGAGAGGTAACGCAAGTAGCTTAGTGTAGATAGAGTGGAGTGGAAGGGCGGGATGTATGGTAAATGGCGAAAAGGGAATCAAGAGCCCAGAAGGCAGCCCGAGAGCACGTGCCATGATCGGGAGGGAGGCCGGTTTAGGTACCCAAACACCGATACTGAATACCAGTGTGCTTAGGAAGTCACTCAAAGACTCGAGAGTAAAAGCAGCACACAAATATGGCAACCATACTGATGAATGTCCATGGATATGTGGTAGCACAAGCGATTGATTGTGTCGGATGCAGGATAAACATCACTCCCAAGCGTGTTCCGACGACGATGGCCTGGTTCCGATTGCCATCCGACTCCGACATCAGTGTATGATTGCTCCGACGGCATCTCGTGGCAGACACAAGCCTTGCCGCTGATCCGAGCACTCTTGTAAAGGACTTGAGCAAATGGAATGCTCGAGCAAGCAGGTAGCGTGCACATCACTCGATCGTCGTTACTGATGTGGGTAGTAGAGCTCGCGTTACCGACTGGTATTGCGATAGTCGAGTCGCTGAGCGTAGAGCATTAAAAGCACGCGCAAGAACGTTATTTCGTGATCACATCAGTCACACGTGGCACTTATTTAACCTCGCACTCGCGCTCCTCTGCAAACATCCACCACCACCGACCAGCGCAGTACTTTCCCCCGTATCCGTATACGAAGACCACGTAACCGACCCAAACTATTTCCCATGGAGAATAATACGAACCCGTCGCCCTTGACGCAACCTCAGGTGAAGGTTGAGAACGACCATAACGATCCGATCAACGTCAAGGTGCGCCTCGCTGTTACCTTGAGGTTGACAACTCTGACATCTATCCTTTCATTTAATCTGGCACTCACACACGAACCACATCGTATCTGCTGGCTGTCATGTCGCCGGATGTCTAGGTGGTCAATTCGGCCACGGACGAAGAGGTTTATTTCAAGATCAAGAAGAGCACAAGGTTGACCAAGCTGCAGACTGCTTATGCGGAGAAAGTGGGCAAGGACGTACATGATATTCGGTAAGCACAAGGCTTGTTGTCTACGGGCGTGCAAACCGCTTCAACTGATGTCGGATCACTCCCCGAAACCTCTCAATTGATCATTGCTGTGTTCCATAGTTTCCTCTACGACGGCAACCGTATTCTGGACGACGATACACCCGCGTCGCTGGACATGGAGGATAACGGTCCGTAACGTGCAGCTTTCGCATAGAGTCTCACGACGCTTACGCGAACAATTCTACTTCAGACTCCATCGATGTCATGGTTGAGCGTGGGTGCATGCTCTTATTGTGATTTTTTCCAACTTATCTCCGCACAGAGATCGGCGGATGGCGCATGTAATGAGCTTACAAGCTAAGGTTGCCTTCGAGTATCGATACTACATGTCTCGCCCTCGTGTTCTCCAACTTCTCGCATTGCAAATGTGAAGATGATAGACAGTATATGATATTGATGACTGCTTTTGAGCTGTGTTTGAAGGTCGTGCGGGTTCAAGGACGGTAGGACCCGATTGCCGGCATGTAGAAGGCGGTTCTCTCGCGTGTTTCCGAGCGTCGGAAAGGAGGGGTCGTCAATAAGGACACCAATCGCACTCTCGAGATCATCTGATGTCTCACCGTTAGAGCGAACGATGTAGCGCATGTTCTTGTAGAGTCTGCGTAGCCAGTTGATGATTGGGACGGAGCGGCCGCGACGATGCAGTTCCATCCGCAGCGTATCCCTATCAGGGGAGGGGAACGCGTTGCTGACGTCGACGAAGGCCACGGTGACGGGGCTTATTGAGGGCCCTATAGTTC